ATGATATTTTGCATCACTGGCTATTGTGCACCAAGCAATAGCTTTGACTTCCTGATCAACTTTGTCGAAAACAGTATCTTTCTATCTGGTCATGATCTCGAAATATATCACATGCGATTATTTCACATGTATGCTAGCGCTACGTAGTGAGAAAATCCTGAACTACTATCCACCAGCCAAATGGCCTTGACCTCCTGAACGGCTTTGCCAAAGACTGTAACTTTCTATCTGGTCAGGATCTCGAAATATATCACATGCGATAAATTCACATGTATACTAGCGCCGCGAAGTGAGAAAACTCTGAACTACTGTCCACCAGCGAAAAGGTTATGATCTCCTGAACAACTTTGTCGAAGACAGTAACTTTCTATCTGGTCATGATCTCGAAATATTTTATATGTGAGAATTCCACGCGTAAACAAGCGGTGCTTAGTGGGAAAATTCTGAACTATTGTGCACTAAGCAATAGGCTTTGACCCCCTGAACAACTTTGTCCAAGACAGTAACTTCTTATCTGGTCAGTATCTCGAAATATATCACATACGATAATTTCACATGTATACTAGCACTACGTAGTGAGAAAGTTATGAACTACTGTCCACCAGCCAAAAGGCCTTGACCTCCTGAACAACTTTGTCCAAGACAGTAACTTTCTATCTGGTCAGGATCTCGAGATATTTTATATGAAAGAATTCCACGTGTATACTAGCACTGCATAGTGAGAAAATTCTGGACTATTGTGCACCAAGCAATAGGCTTTGACCCCCTGAACAACTTTGTCGAAGATAGTAACTTCCTATCTGGTCAGGATCTCGAAATATATCACATGCGATAATTTCACATGTATGCTAGCGCTGCGTAGTGAGAAAATTCTGAACTACTGTCTACCAGCCAAAAGGCCTTGACCTCCTGAACCACTTTGTCGAAAACAGTAATTTCCTATCTGTTCAGGATCTCGAAATATATCACGTGTGATAATTTCACATGTATGCTAGCACTACGTAGTGAGAAAATTCTGAACTATTGTGCACCAAACTATAGGCTTTGACATCTTGAACAACTTTGCCGAAGACAGTAACTTTCTATCTGGTCATGATCTCGAAGAAATATATCCCATGCGATAATTTCACATGTATACTAGCGCCGCGAAGTGAGAAAATTCTGAACTACTGTCCACCAGCGAAAAGGTTATGATCTCCTGAACAACTTTGCCAAAGACAGTAACTTTCTATCTGGTCAGGATCTCGAGATATTTTATATGAAAGAATTCCACGTGTATACTAGCACTGCATAGTGAGAAAATTCTGGACTATTGTGCACCAAGCAATAGGCTTTGACCCCCTGAACAACTTTGTCGAAGATAGTAACTTCCTATCTGGTCAGGATCTCGAAATATATCCCATGCGATAGTTTCACATGTATGCTAGTGCTACGTAGGGAGAAAATTCTGAACTACTGTCCACCAGCCAAAAGGCCTTGACCTCCTGAACAACTTTGTCGAAGACAGTAACTTTCTACCTGGTCATGATCTCGAGATATTTTATATGAGAGAATTCCACATGTATACTAGCGCTGCGTAGTGAAAAAATTCTGAACTATTGTGCACCAAGCAATAGGCTTTGACCTCCTGAACAACTTTGCCGAAGACAGTAACTTCCTATCTGGTCAGGATCTCGAAATATATCACATGCGATAATTTCACACGTATGCTTGCGCTACGTAGCGAGAAAATTTTGAACTATTGTGCACCAAGCTATAGGCTTTGACCTCCTGAACAACTTTGCCGAAGACAGTAACTGTCTATCTGGTCAGGATCTCGAGATATTTTTTATGTGAGAATTTTACGTGTATACTAGCGCCGCGAAGTGAGAAAACGCTGAACTACTGTGCACCAAGCATTAGGTTTTGACCCCCTGAACCACTTTGTCGAAGACGGTAACTTTCTATCTGGTCAGGATCTCGAAATATATCACATGCGATAATTTCACAAGTATGCTTGCGCTACGTAGTGAGAAAATTTTGAACTATTGTGCACCAAGCTATGTGCTTTGACCTCCTTAACAACTTTGCCGAAGACAGTAACTTTCTATCTGGTCAGGATCTCGAGATTTTTTATATGTGAGAATTTCACGTGTATACTAGCGCTGCGTAGTGAAAAAATTCTGAACTACTGTGCACCAAGCATTAGGTTTTTGCTCCCGAACAGCTTTGACCTATCTGGTCAGGATCTCGAAATATATAACATGCGATAATTTCACATGTATACTAGCGCTGCGTAGTGAGAAAATTCTGAATTACTTTCCACCAACGAAAAGGTTATAATCTCCTGAACAACTTTTTCGAAAGCAGTAACTTTCTATCTGGTCAGGATCTGGAGATATTCCATGTTGTAACCAATTAAGTTAAATCCCATATGAACATCGTTTACGCGGTTTCCAGTTACATTATTCAAAATTAAATTTATAACTTTTTAATTTTTATATTTTAATGATTTTTAGATTAATCACAGTAACACAAAAAAAAATAAAAAAAATCAGAGACAAGAAATGTTTTTATTGGTTCTGGAATACAGGACTCGTTCGTTTTGGCACCGTGCCAAAATCGATTATGAAAATAACCCAACAAACAATTTGTGCTGATTAAGGGCTGAATAAGCTATTTTTTCACCGAAGAAGCATATTTTTGCCTGAATAAGCTCTTATTCCGCTTCCAGTGTTTGTTGGGAATGTATTTTTGCTTCTATTACTATTGATTTTATAAATAAATTAATTATTAATATCGTCTATGTCATAAAGATGACTTACGGTGGTCTAAAATCATCGAGATCAGAAAATAAATTTCAAAATGAAACCGTTCGATTTTGGCAATTCTAAATTTTCGGGTTTGTTGACAAAATCGTATTTTCCACAAATTAAAAATATGCATGTGGAGTTAAAAATTGTAGTACTTCAAACATTTTTCAAGAATCTGGAGTCCAATTTCTTGGACCGGTTTTAAAGGCTCACGGAATTTTATTATAATTTCCTCGGGGAAGTACTGGGAAAAAAATCTCTGAGAAAAACACCAATTGCAATCTGCTTCCAAGATAGTTCTCAGGAATTTTAGAATTTCATGTGAAGCCTGATATAGGTTTGAGTATAATCTCAAAGTAAACTTCAATGAAAACTTATAAGGATTTTTATTCGAAGTAGAACTCATGTGAACTTCAGAGGGAAAATCCAAGGGCTTTCTGAGGACAATTTCATGGAGCTTGAGTGAGAAAACGAATCAGGAGCAGAGTCATATGAAATTTTCGGAGAATTCATAGGGGGTGGGGAGATGCAATAAAGACGAAGTATATTTTTTTCTTGATTTGTCATTGAAATTCATGTTTTTCCCAGTGACTTCGAATTCGAAGGCTATTGTCCGGTTTTCCCGATAGGCCATTTTTATGCACAACCAACGTAGAGGGCACCACGCGAGTTTGAGAGAAAACGTCAACCAAACCGTTTGTTTACATCAGAAGAAGGATTTTTCAACGGAAATTAAAGCATTCTTCATGGAACACCTTGCCAATTTCCATCAGTAATTGTCTTACTTTACGATTTTCCACACATCTGAACTGATTTGCACCTAAATTATTCACACACAAGCAATCCGGATGATCATAACCACTAAGGCACTATTGGAATTTTGCATTTTTCTCAACAAAAATATTCCTGAACTCTAGCAGAATTCTCGCAAAAATGATATAGAATTAAATTTTTCAACTATTGATCAAGTTTTCGAGCATCTCAGATGACTCAATTTATCAGGAAAAGTGAAAAAGTGTTCCGCTTCCAATGTCTCACGGCAAAAATTTCTGATCACAACACTCTTTTTGACGTTCTAATATTCACCACCAGAGGTTGAATCGATCGCTTAGTTTCTATTAAAAAGGCGTATTCCAAGTCCCCTTGGGCTTACAGGAACGTCTCGCACTGTACTATCTATGGCTAGATGTTATGACTGCTTGTGAATATCTTTCGGACGCTCCAAGTTAACTGAAGTGTAAAATTTACGCGGAAAATACGTAGGGTTATGAACGGGTTAAGCAGAGAGTTTTACTGGCGAATCCATTCAAAAGATCTTAGGCGTAATAAAACATCAGTGCACAAAATTTAGTGCAACCAACCAACCTACCCCCTGACTTCACCTGTGACACTCGTCGCATCCAAGCAAATAAAACTGGGCAAGCACGACAGAAACATAGAGAGAGAAAGAGCAAGAGGCCGAACAAGCCACGGGAGGGCTGTTTTCGCGGAAATTGAATGCCCCAGTCTCAGTTGCAGTCGTCGCCATCCGCCAATTGACGCCAATTCGATGAGGACGGACCTTGCACTGATTAAACGCGAAACGTTAATTGATCCAATAATGGCAATGGGAATAACCTGGATCAATACCCAGCAGGTATTAATCGGTGATTTGTGATCCAGTTTTCGGAAAAAAATACAGCACATGACAGTTCAACATGAATGAACGTTAGGGTGGGCCAACTTAGAAACCCCATACTCCGCACAGCTCTTTCGATACGTATTACGGTTCTCAACTTTATAATTTGTCGGAACCAAACCTAAGACTTACCATACCTGAGAAAACTATACAGAACAACATCCTTGAAGACTGCAAATCGATTCGACTTCTGCGCAAAAAAGTTATTTTTTTAATGGCCATGTGTTCCGCGCATACCTACTGGGGTTGCATATAAGCTTGTAGGTATGTACGGAGCGCCAGGGCGATAGTAAAAAATTAATGCCTTTTTACACAGAAGTCGAATCAATTTGCGGTCTTCAGTGAATTTGTTCTGCACAGTTTTCTCAATGTTAGTCCCAAGTTTTGTGAAAATTGAGAAATGTTGTCAAGCAATCGAATAGTTTTGTTCCCATACACATTTTAAAGCACTCCCGCAGGGGGGTTGTCATATAAAGTTGACCCACCCTAATGATAAATGCACATGCACAAAAAAAAGAGACACAACTTACCCCTTCTATTCGGTTTTGTACAATGCTGATGAACTCCTCGGCCCCCGTCTGGCCGGTAGCCTTCTGCAGCACCGGAGGTTTACACGTGCACAGGTGTCCCGTCCCGAAGAATATCAGCTTCTGGACCCGAAGTGCGTTCTGCGAAGTGCGAGACCAGTGTTAGGATAATTTCCTCGAAGGGGGTTAAAAATTGCCCGAATCTTACCTGCGCTTCCTCCATGTCGCGTGACTTGTGGGTGAAGATAGGTTCCGGTCCTTTGTACATGAGCGGAGTGAATCCTGCCAGTGTGATGTCCTCCTGTAGTCGAACGACCTCGTAGTCTGCAGCAGCGTGGGAATAAAAGAGCATTCAATTTTATTAGCTTTTGATTACAATGATCATCCTATAATGATAGAGTTGGCGCGACGATGAACGTCAACGCAGAAACAGACGACGACGACGACGACGACGACCGAGATAACCGTTTTCTCAAAAGCTCCAAACAGATGGTAGGCATTTTTGGGAAGATGAAGATGGGATTCTAAGGGGCCGGCCAGCAAAGTGCCAATCGATAAGCGATGTAAAACATGCAAGCAAATGGGCACTTAACTAGACCTGGAGGGGAAAAAATGGGTGAACTTGGAAGTCATTTGTTTTAGGGCTTGGAAAGGGAGTAATTTTCGGGGCAATGATATGAAGGGCTGTTATTATTGTTTTAATTTTTGTTTTCGTGGTATTTAAGGGCCCTTGGAGGGACGCGTGCGAACACTCCGCTTGGAATTGCGGGGCGTTTAGACCCGTTAGGTAATTAAACAGAGTTGCGTTCGAGAGGAATGCGTTTAGGAAAACAAAAAACCGGTGCACTTTAGGGTAAGTATAGGGATGCTGCGGCACACGGTGGGTTTAGAGGACGGAAGATGATCTATTATGTAGGCAGATCGAGGACAGGTTCAGTGCAGATCGGTTAACGACATTGTGATCACAAAAGATCTATGGGTTGGTAGTGAGAACGCTCCTATAAATTCTTCTTAAAATCACTTGTTGTTGTTCATAGAATTCTATAGGAATTCTTCACTAGGTGCTTTTGGAATTTTTCTCGGAATTCTCATAAAACTCTTCACAGAATTCCTTTGGATTTTTTTGATTAAAATTCGATCTCCTTTTCGATCACAAATGGATTTTTCCTAAACACATCGTTAAGCATAATAACCATATAAATTTTACTAGGATTAGTATTTATGACGGGATTTCATTGAAACTTTCTTTAGAATTCACTTTAAATTATCTTTAAATTGTTACAGGAATTTCCATGAAGATATCATCACAACTCATGTAAAATTCATCTCAGAACTTACTTGGAATATTCATTAGAAATTGACCTGGATTCCTCTTCACAACCGTCATGAAATTTACCATAGAACTACCTACAGATTCTATTCTAACCTCTTACAATTGACTTGGAGTTCTAGCCAAAATCTCTTTTAGAGCTCTTCAAAGAAAGCTCTTGATATTTTTCCATGAAATACATTGTTGTAATCTCCGAATTTCATTCTAAAATGTAGTTCAAAATTCTCTTAATATTTAGTTCTTCATAGTGACTGTATCCTGAAAATTCAGTGCAAGGGTCTTGAAATTGTTTATAGGTCTAGATTCTAATTTTTCCCCGATTTGTTAATTTACGAGAATTTCCCTGTTTTCGCCCGATCATTTCGAATTCCCGGCATTCCCTATTTCCCGGTTCACTGGTCACCCTGATTGCATTAACATGTTTAATTTTCTTTGAAGGTTTCTGATCTTTATTGAAAAATTGGGAACTTCTTAAAAGATCATACAATTTCCTTGATACAAATGGAACTACCCTGAAAATCTCTGATAATCGCAGAAGTTCTCGTAATTCTGGGATGTTCTCGAAACTGCCATAAAAGTAACGAAACTTCCCTTAAAATGTTGTCTCATTTTCCTGATGTTCTCAAATGTTCTCTCAATGCTTCCGAAGTTCTTGGTAGGAATCAGCCTATTAAAGCCTACAAACTTCCCTGAAATTCGCTGGACTTCTTTGAAGTTTCCGAAATGCTACTGGCGATTTATTATATTCTTTGAACATTTCCTGAAGTCATTGGAACCACCCTAAAGCTCTCCAAAAATCTCTAAAGAACTTCTTTAAAATTTCATCAATTTTCCCCAAGTTCTCTCTTTTGACTTCCCTCAAAATCTCTGGATATACCTGCAGTTCTTAAAACTTCTGTAATGATCCTGCAGTTTTCCTGAAGCTAATGGAACCACCTTGCAGCTCCCAAAATGTTTCAAATTGATGTTGCAATGTTCTCGAAACTGCCCTTATGTTCCCGCAGTTTGTTTATGAAATTTCCCTCAAAGTATCAGCCTTCTCTTTCATTCCTCAGTTTCTACAATTTTGGTGAAGCTAATAAGAAGTTCTCGCTAATCTCCTCTTCAAAATTCCTCATGGTGACCAGCAAAAGCCGATTTTCAATGTTCCGGTTTTCAACGAATAAAACATTCGCGGAATTTTGGATTTTTTTTTCGGATTGTGGTAGGGTATACGTCCCTAACCTCGGTCTAATATGCAGCCATAGATTACGTTTTTAATCATAACTCATCAATTAATTTACCTGCAAACGATATTCTACTGCTAAATGGTATGCTTAGATATGCTTATCATGTCGTTTGCTATCAGGAACCGCAAAAAGTTGAAAAACTTACTTTTTTAAGACAAAAACTCACCAGGGAAATGTATGTAATATCGGTCTATTGTCCCCAAATTGGGTCTATTTATGGATGCAACTTCGTCCTATCCTGTTTGATTCTCAAAAAAAACGCTCTTGGTAACGTTTTCTTATGTATTTTTTTTTATCACTATCACTGTTAACTTAATACTCTTCATTCCTCAAAACATTTCTTAGAGAAAATTTTACGAAAACTACATTAAATCACTCAAGTTAAAAATTAAAAATTAAAAATTTCGCTTATCGTCTTTCGACCGCAGAATATCTAAATCAAAACATTGTGATGTTCATTATACAGATTTGGCAGAAAAAATCTCCCTTCCTGTTCGTTCCTTATCATCCAAATGCAAACCACATTGTTGACGTTACTCTTATTGCTATATGCTGTCAAATGAATTTCATGGGCCAAAGTTAGGAACATAGAAAAGAAATGTGTCCCTAAAGTTGGGTCCATGATTTACTTGTGAAAACGTTGTTAAACAATTAAAATAAACATAAAATATTCAAACAGTAACTGTGAGTTTTACGTCTAGTGTGTATTATCAGGTAATTCCATTCAATAAATGCCATAATCAGGCCATTTGATGATCGTCAGTGCAACCTTCCCATCTTAACCTTAGAAGTCATGGCGGCTAAAAACTCCGAACAGAGTGATATTCTCAACCAGTTTTATTACTTACGAGAGCTGAAAATGTATTGAAATGTTGTGATATAAATTGATTTGTGTGTGGTACACATTTATCAATCATCAGTGATCAATATTTTCCTTATTTTTTGTGTAATATTCCTTAATTAATTATTTATTTGCGTGATAGGCCGAATGAAAGGACTAGACCCACATTACATACCGTAACCCTATATAGGGAAATGGATATAATGTCGGCCTAAATGACCCTAATTTGGGCCCATACATAAATTCAGCATTCGACTTAATTTTCAATAGCGGCCAAAAATATCCAATAATTCCGTCCCAATGACGCATTCACCTAGATAAAATTGATAAAAAGCAGATTTTTATCGATGAGCCCAATCTTAGATCCATTGGGTAACATTAGAGCCATTTCCCCTACATTTAAATTAAGCATAACATCGAAAGCGATTGATTCAAAGAGATTTTCCTGGATTCTAATTTTTTCTGCATTCAAAATCTTCAGAAAATTACTTTGTTTTCAGGAAAACTGCAGGATCTTTACAGAAGTTTTAAGAACTGCAGGGATATCCAGACATTTTAAGGTAAGTCAAAAGAACGTCAGAGAAGTTGAGAGAACTTGAGGAAAATTGATGAAACTCTAAAGAAGTTCTTTAGAGATTTTTGGAGAGCTTTAGGGTGGTTCCAGTGACTTCAAGGAAGTTCCGAAAATTTCAGGAAAGTCCAGATCTGTTTAAGTATGTTCCGCTAAATTCAAGACAGATCCATTAACTTATGGAAAATTTCGATAAAGAGATTTGGGAATTTACGGAATGTTCAAAGAATATAATAAATCACAAGTAGTATTTCGGAAACTTCCCAGAAGTCCAGCGAATTTCATGGAAGTTTATAGGCTTTAAGAACCGTTCGATTTATTTCTGATTCGTACCAAGAACTTCAGAAGCATTGAGAGAACATCTGGGAAACTTCGAGCACATCAGGAAACATCAGAGAAGCAAAGGGTAGTTCAATTAATTGCAAGAAAATTGTTGGATTTTTAAAGAAGTTCCGAGAAACTAAGGGACTTTACGAAATCTTCAGCAAAGTTCCGAGGACTTCAGGAAATTTACCTTTATAAGTCACTTTGAACTCTTTACAGCATTTCTCTCTCTGATATCCTTTTGTAACTTTCTTTGTGAAAGTCTTGAAATTTGGAGATTTTTTGGATACTCTTAGAATTTTTAATTTTTCTCTAAATAATTTACAGAAGCTTCTTTTGTATGGAAAACATAATTTAAATTTTGCTAATACAATTCACTTCCGTGTTGTCTTGAAATTCAGCTCAGAGCTATCTTGGAGAATTTTTCAAACAATACACTTGAAATTCTCCTCACAATTCCCTAGAAATTCTTCTCAAAATGCCCTTGGCATTGTTCTCGGAATTCCCGTAAAATTATCTATCGAATCCACTTGAAATTATCTACAAAATTTCCTTGAAGTTTTGCTCTGAATTATTAAGGAATTATCCTCAGAATTCAATAGCCTCAGTGTTCTTCTTAGATTTTTCTAGGAATCCTCAATTCTTCTCAGCACTTGGAAAATACATTAAAATTGGACCTGGAATCTTCCTCACCATCGTCCAGAATTCTGCTCAGAGGCACTTAACAATTCTACTTAAAGCTCTTCTTAATTTGCACTTGGAGCCAGAACTGTAAAATCTCGACAAAACACGGCGATATTCAAAATTCCGCTTTGACAAACCATACCAATTGTCAGTGACGAACACGTGCAGATTTGCTAATTAGCTAAATTTGAAACGAGATTAAATGACTGAACAAGCATCTCAGGAATCTTTTTCATTGACGAAAAAATTAAAGAGATTTTGGCAAAGGTTTTTTTGATGATCAAATCTATCATCATGTGAAAAACAATTTTGTCAATATCGCGCAACAGTCTGTCACTGACAATG